TTTTGATATCACTGAAGCTTCATCTTCTGAACTTACCCTTTCCTTTTACTATAGAGAAAATTGAGATCTGAAGAGGGGAAATGACTCCCTAAAATTACATGGCAGGGAAATTACAGAGCCTAGACTCAACCTCAGGTACTCTGACTCGAAGTACAATTTGCTTTCTTATGTACAAGGAGGAAACTTAACAATTTTGCTCTGATATATAATCACCTTAATAATTTTTTTTCCCGTACGTTTCAGCCTATCTTTAAATTATAAGGCCCATGGAGAAGAAAAAAAAATAAAACTCAAAAATTTCATTTTCCTTAAGCTAGATTTTTCCATTCACCACTAATCAAGATAATCAAAATACTTTGGCTTGATTATTCTCTGAGGTTCCTGATATAAACTAGGAGGGAAAATGTCATGTCTGTTGATTAAGTGGTCCCTTTGCCCCCATTCAAAAGCAGGATAATATTTATTAATTCAATCAAATGACCCTATGGTAATGCTTACAGGCAGCATGCTTCTATTCCAAATACACATTCGGTATTAGTATTCCACTTCATACCCCAAAGCTAATTTCCTGGAAGTCAGATAGTGAGCATCTAACTTTTTGATGGAGACAATTTGTCAACATATCCTAGGCTTCTTTAAACTAGGGCTACAGTTGATAGGATGTGTTAGATATTTTTCTGAAATAGTTATAGTTTGAGATTATTTTTTAAAGTATGAAATAAGTTTGTGTTTATCCCTTGCTAAAGGCATGTATAAAAAAAAATCCTGATTAGATTCTATTGATTGTGAAGAATAGATAAGTAGGGTCTTTCAAGTAGCTAATGAGTAAGCTAATAATTTGCTATATTTGATTGATTCATTCAAACATGGTGGTAGTAACAAGAAGGAGAATTTAGTTTCATATAGTAATTTATTAGTGGATAGTCTGACACAGCTATTGGAGATCTGGCCTTCCAGTAAAGGCTCAAGTCTTATCCTCCGATACAATGAAATGTGTAGCCTCTCAGTACCCCAGGGAAATCTGTAAGACTAGAAGTATCATAAAAATTATGACTAAGTTATAGATGAATTGCTGATCCAGCATGAAATAATTGTTCTAACTTTCACCTCTGCATGACCCAACAGAAGACTTCATGGTTTAGAAAGCATTTTTTTTTCATACATTAGCTCATTTGTTCATCAGGATACCTTGAGAGTTAGATGTTAATAACGACTACTATTCATTTTATTTTGTATAGGTGTGGGAAGTAAGGCTCAGAGCATTTAAATAACTTCACTAAATGGGGTGGTGGTGGTAGAGACCTGAACCCAAGTTTTCTTTGATTTAAATTCTTTCTACCACAGTATACTGGTCCTCTGAGGAAGACAATTAAAATAGCCTCTAATGCTCCCCTCCCAATAAAATAAAAAAAAAACACAAAAACACAAACTACGCACACATCATATGGGGAAAGTATAATTTTGTAGAGGTATATTATAGTGGACAAAGAGCAGGTCCACACATGTTATAAAGAATGAATTAAATTGTCTTTCCACAAGGGTATTTCAACAGAGGTTTAAAGCTCAGTGAAAGCTTAAATAACTGCATGGTGTTGTAAAGACAATCTAAATAGAGGGTGTTAGGAATGGAAATCTCTGCAGGTCAGTGGAATCATGACTGATGGATGTCATCAGGAGAAGGGAATAGTCACAAAATCAAAGAGTTGGAAGGGACCTTAAAAAACGTTGAGTCCAGTGACCTTATTTGACAGATGTAGAATGGAAACTTAGGGCAGCTAGGTAGCTTAATGGATAAAGCACTGGGCCTGAAGTCAGGGAGACTCGTCTTCCTCAGTTCAAATCTGACTTCAGACATTTACTACCTGTGTGACCCTGGAGTTACTTCTTTTTGACTCAATTTCTTATTTGTAAAACGAGCTGGAGAAGGAAATGGCAAACCACTGCAGGATCTTTGCCAAGAAGACTCCAAATGGGCATGAAGAGTTGGACACAGACTGAAATGACTGATCAATAACAAAATGGAGCCACAGAGCTAGTAAGTGGCAGCACTAAGACTGGAACCTGGAGCTTCTGGAGGCAGGTCTTTCCTAAGCTTTTTTCTTTCCACCACCCTGTCTTCTCATTGTGGCTGATCATGTGTCCGTCTGAATGCCACTACAGAAGTCTTTTGAGTGTGCCTTCTCTCTTGCTTCAGACAACCAGTAAGGGTACTGAAAAATATTCATCATGAACTTCAGAGGAGGGATTTAGTATTTACAACTTTCTGTCTGACACAGAGCCTAGCCCAACTCCTTGTACACAATAGATGATCAGTGAATGTTTGTAAATGAATTAACCAAAGGTCAGTCCACTAAGAAAAAAAATAATGTTCAGGGTGATTCTGTTAATTATTTTCAATTACCACCACAAACAACATTGTTGATCCCAATGCAAGGAAAGAATCATAGTATATTATAGCAGAAAGAAACCTTAGAATTCTTCTGAACCTAGTCTTTCCCTTTACTGTTGAGAAAACTGAGATCTGAAGAGGGGACATGATTTCCTAAAGTTACATGGCAGAGAAATTGCAGAGCCTAGACTCAACCTCAGGTATTTTGACTCTAAGTACAGTTTGATTTCTTATGTACAAGAAGGAAAATTAACAATATTCCTTTGATATATAATCACCTTAATAAAAAAAAACTATAGGATTATGGCATTCATTTCTGAAGGTGATAGGAGGTAGTCTGGCCTCTGAGTTTTATGTAACCTTACTCTTCTGAAGGATAAATGTATCTGGGCAGGAAAAGAATACTGCGAATGTAATAGGCAAATCCCTTAAATCATATTTCCTTTTAGTTTGCTAAATTGTATGCATCTAAGAGATTTTTAATAACTTTCTCAACAAGGAAGGGAAAAAAAATAAAGAAAAAAAGTTTGAACCCAAAAGTTAATGAATGAAATACAGTATGTATAGATATTAGCATGGATGTATAAAAATCACTAGATCAGGATATGAGAGATTTAAACTCTAGAAGAGATTCTGCCACTAATTTCCTGACCTTGGACAAGACAATTGACCTTCCTGGGTATTAGTTTACTGTTCTTCATGAATGAAGAGCAATAAATGAAAACGAATCTGGAGTAGACTATTTCTAATCTCCAAGTGGTCATTACCAGGAAAGACACAAACTCATATATCTACATACAATTCAATTCAACAACCACTTCCTACATTTAGGGAATACTGTGTAAAAGATACTGAATATTTATTAAAGAATTCCATATATATTGTTCATGCTTAGTTTTTTCAAGGTAGGTCACTTGCTATTCTGAAAGAGAATTTTTTTTTATGCCTCAGAAATATTTTAAAATAACTTAAAAGTACTAGTAAGCTCCAGTATCAGTGAAATAAAAATGCTTAAGAATTACTTATTTTTGCAAGAAAATGTGCTAGGCAACACAATTATATCCCAGATCTTTGAAGAGTTCATGATGCTTTGTGACTTTAGTAAATCCTCACTTTTGAGTATAAGTCCCATTCATACTAGTTAAAAAGAAGTCTAAATTAAAGAATACTTTAAAAATGCATAGCTGTATTACTTAATACACATATAATTTTAATTCATATGGTTCCATATGTAAATGACTAATATTCTTTAGTAGAGATATTGCCTTTCTTTCATTTATTGAATATAAAAAATATAATTAGCATATTAATTATTTGTAACTATTGCATTAACCATTGGTAGGCAAGGCCTCAAAGCCTTTCATCAAAATGAAGTGAACAAAAGCTGTTGGTTCCCAAAATTATCTCAAACCTCAACACTACAAATGCATTCACATTGTTAATTTATTTAGCATATTTAATGCATAGATTAAACTCTATTCCAGTTGTGATGAATAAAAATGCCAAATAAGGTGGATCTGAATTAATAAAGTTTTATGTAATAATTAAATTGGCTGTCACAATATCTTAGTAGGGGTAAAATTCTTCAGCCTTCAGTCCTATTATCTAGTAAATGTAAGAGCCAAGACTGACACCCAGATGTTCTAACTTGACCTTCAATCCTCTTTCCACTAAATGCTGCAATGTACAAGGGAAAAAAAAAAACTCAAGAGCGTCCTATAATAAATATGCATCAGCGTCAGCCCAAGCAACAAGATCGTTGTTTTAGAGTTAAAATGGACCTCAGTGACCATCTAGTCTCATTTCCTCATTTTAAAGCCAAGGAAGTTGAAAGAACATTGATCTAAGGGGCTTGTCCAAGGAACATTGGGGTTATCTAAAAGAGGCCTATGGTGCATTATTTTGTGAAGTTAATAATCTTCTAATAACTTACTTGTTTGTAGAGAATAAAGGACAAATAGTAAGTGGCAGAAGTGGAATCTGAACCTGGGTCTTTTGGCTTTAAATCCATTGCTTTTTCCACTATACTATATTTTCTCCACAGGAATTATTGGATATTATAGACAGGGACTACTTACTTATTTTTTATGGTAGAAAGAATATTTCAATATCTTATTTTCTAGTTGAGAAGCAGTGTGAGATTGAGTATTGAACTTAGAATTTAAAGATTTGCATTCTGATTCTGACACTTTAAATTTTGTGATCATTTACCTCTACAGGCCTCCAGAAACTCACTAAGACTCATTTGCTCAGTCACAGATAACTTTCAATTTCCCTCACTGGAGGATATTCCCACACCAGATAAATCACTAAATTATCTAGGTGGGCCAAGTAGGCTGAGCAATTTGTAGGAGTTTGAGCAGTTACTAGAACTAGTGAAGAGGAAAGAGAAATTACCTCCTAACTCAAAACAAGAGTCTATAGGCTGGGTGCCCTCTGACCCAACTTTCAGTGGATTTATAAAAAAATAAAAAAATCATTCATTACACATCACTGCAAGAAACTCATCTTGCATTCTAAATCTATGTCATAGAGTACGGTTGCCCATTATGTGCATTATAGACAGAAGAAAAAGAAGAAAAAACAAAACAAAACAAAACATTGGACGTACTTGGATCCGACAAGATGGAATCGGTTTTCGGCAAAAACTGATCACAGCGGACTCCTTGGTAGCCTTCTTTGCACCTGAGGAGAAGGGGATAAATGACAAACGTACACATGGGATAGTGAAAGTTTAGCCTCATCACATCAATGAGCACGAGAAATATTGGCACCAATTACACAAATGATTTCTAAGCCTGTTTAGTCTTATGCACCGTTGGGGAACCATTTTATTTTGACTCACAGCAGAAGGAATTAGAGAAGATTCCATATGTTCTGACAAAGGCTTTGCCTTGATTTGGAGATTTGGTCTTGGCTTAGAGAAGGTATTTCATTGTAGTCACCTATTTATTGTGATTTTATCTGTAGGTTGACTGTGGAGAACTCACAGTTACTTAAACTCACTGGAAACCAGCTTCCCCTTCTGTAAAATGAATGGGTTGAACTAGGTGGCTGTTGATGTCTCTTCCAGCTTTAAATCTGTAAATAATATGAAAACTAAGCCCAGGTAATCATAGGTCCTTTTATGTAATGCATATGCTTAAAATTTACCACTTTTGTGGGGGGTATTTTGCTTGTTTTGCAAATCATGTTGAATGAACATTGGAGAAGCTAGAGTTTCTTAAAAAAGACTTGTGATGTCATTTAAAAAAAATAAAAATTATCCCCCAATTAATCTGTGGTAGATAAAGTGCTGGACCTGGAGTCAAGAACAATTGAGTTCAAATCATGCCTCAGGTACCTGTTGACCACTGGAAAATAACTTAATATCTAAACCTCAGTTTCCTCATCTGTAAAATGGAGATAATAATAGCACCTGACACTCTGATTTGTTGTAAGGGTGAATCAAGATTAAGTATATAAAACACGGTTCAGATCCTAAAGAGCTAGATAGAGTCATAGATCTAGAGCTTGGACCACAGATTCCACCTAATTCTCCCTCTTTGTTTTATATATCCACAAATGGAGGCCCACAGATGTTAAGTGACTTACCTATTGCATTCATTTATGTGGCAGAGCGCAGATTCAAAATAAGGTACCATGATTCCAAGGCTTGTTAATGCTCTTTCCATTGCACTATAATTTCTGATTATTTTCAAGCAGAGGCAAACCTTGTTGTAGGACCAATGATTTCAGAATCTCTTCTTACCACATATAAAGCAAAACTCTAAGAAGGGCCTCTAAAATTTGATTTTTGGAAGATACATTAATATAGCCTTGTATATTCACTTATACCTTCTGAGCTTGCGGGGAGGGGGAGTGAACATTCATCTGGCTTATGGGGGCCAAAGGAAGGCAATTTAACCAGAAAGCTGAGCAATGGGGCATGTAGCCTGAGCTTCGCCAGTCCACTGGGGATGTTATCACTATCAGTTCACTCATCTCTGGCTCCTTGACTGCCTCTGACAAGTGCAGCACATTACATCGGGTCAGTGCAAGAAATAGGAGTGGAGACCCAAGATGACTTGTTTTTGAATGATCCCTTAAAATGGAAGGTGACATTTAATGGGCTTCTTTCTGCTTAATCTGTGCTGCTTGAGTGAAGAAGGGCTGCTCCTGCGGTTTGTTCCTGGAATAAATTTACCCTCCTTAGAGCAGCAGAAATTAGCCCTCTGCGATAAAGGCTAAGAGAAAAATCCAGGTTATTGGAGATTTATGAAATCTGCAGAGGAACTGAAAAGGGCCAGTGCATTTATAATCACATCAGTGAATTCTTTCCTTAGAATATATTTTGTTTTCTGTGCATACCACACTATTAGATAAGGCCTATTTCCACCATGGCAGCTAAAAAGAATGACATCAAGGTAATTTTTTCTACTATTTATTGTGCACCAAAAGGTAATTCCTGTAAACGAGTGGCAAGCTCTTAAACACCTTTTCAAGCATGGTACTCCAGAGAATATTTGGCATTTCTCATCACAGGGTGAGAGTCAATGTCTTTGATGTATGGATACTCAAGATACCAAATAGGCTATTTCAAAAAAATTGTTTCAGCAGCCTCCCATTTTCATAACCTTTTGTTATCCATTTAATGAACTCATATTAAAGGAGGTATATATCACTGCTTCTATCAGGAAGAAAAAAAGTGATTATGAAGTTTTTCTGAAAAAAAAAAACAAGCAATGCCATTCTTGTTTTCTGCTCCACAAAATGATGTCAATATTGTTGTTAGGTGGTTTAGGTTTGTAGCAAACAAAGCATTTTAAATTTCAGCTTGTTGCTGTGATGAGGTTAATGCCTTCTATGCTCAGCATTAATTTATTTTGCTTTTGTAACATCCTGATTTCAGCAAATAGGGGCATCAAAGTGGGCACTACTTTGGTATAAGCATTTTTGTTTCTTTTGATTTTTTTAATGATAATTTTGAAATGATTTCCCAAGAAAGTAGGAGTTTTAAGCTCTTTGTTTATTTCTTCCTTAAGTCAAAATATGTGGTTATCATATCTTCCTCTCTCCTTTCTGGGAAAATGAAAATATGAATACATTTTTAGGCATGAAGCTGATTTTTCATGGACACCATGTTAAACCAAGGATAGCTACACTCACATAAGTTCATAACTTGACTGTACACAAACTGACTTCATATGTGAATATGAGATACCCATTGATGGAAGACAATAAACATGTTCATTCTGGGGGCACCGACTCTATGTTAAGTAAATTTCCGTGCTACTAACTGAGAAGCCAAGGCCATCATGCTTAATATAAGAGCAGGTTACCGTGCTAATTGGCCCTGTTTTCAAAAATGAGAAATAAAAGTTTCCATTTAAGAGTCACACATGTCAAATTAATGAGTTAAAACTCATCCAAATGGGTGACTGAATGTAGCCAACAGAAAGTGCAAATGAGAGGTTTTGAATTTACAGCAATATTACAGAGAGTAAGCAAAAGGGGAAATCTTTTTTTTTTGTTTGTTTGTTTTGTTTGTTTTTGTTTTTAGGCAACTGGGGTTAAGTGACTTGCCCATGGTCACACAGCTAGTAAGTGTCAAGTGTTTGGTCTGAGGTCGGATTTGAACTCAGGTCCTCCTGACTTCAGGGCTGGTGCTCTGTCCACTGCACCACCTAGCTGCCCTGAAAACAAGGCTTTTTTTTCCCTTTTTTTTAGGCAATTGGGGTTAAGTGACTTGCCCAGGGTCACACAGCTAGTAAGTGTCAAGGTTTGGTCTGAGGCCAGGTTTGAACTCAGGTCCTCCTTGCAAAACGGGAAATTTTAAAATGTATTCGGATGAAGCAATGAATCAAAGCTCAGTGTCTGACTGATGGGGGATTTTTATAAAGTGAAGTCTTTGAAAGATGAACTTACATGTTTGCTGTTTGTTTTCACTCTTTTGACTTGATACTAAGAACATGAATATTTGAAACAAGAAGGATTTTTGTGACAGACAAATCTTTTGTATTCTTTAGGCATCATTACATATTTATCTTAATTTCATGATAAATGGACACAACGTGAGTGGTTTTCTAATTACAGAATAGGATTAGAAGGGACATCAGGGGTCAACACCTGAAAAGGAATCCCACCTCACATGCAACATTTAATCTTTTTTTCCTGGACCCCAGTTTCATCTGTTCAACTACTTGCTAGGCATCTCTTCCTAAATGTTCCACTGCCATCTCAAACTCACTGTGTAAAACAAAAGAGGAATTTTCTGCTTCCCTAAACCTACCCCTCCTCCCAACTACCCTATTTTTGTGATACTACACTTGTGAAACCCAGTCAGTTTTCAAACCTCAGAGTAATCTTCAACTCTTCCCCATGTTCATTGGCATCTAAGTGGACTTGGAAGCAGGAAGATCATAACTCAAATATTGCCTCAGACACTTACAGCCATGTGCCCTCAGGTAGGTGACCTAATCTCCCTCAGCCTGAGTTTCCTTGTCTTTAAAATGTGGATAAAAGCTATCTATCACGTCCCCATCCTTTGCCCACCAGAGTTGGTACAAGAATCAAATGAGACAGCATATGTAAAACATTTTGCAAATCTTAAAGCTCTATATAAATGATAAGTCTTATATTTGAAGGGCATCTAGGTAGCACAGTGGATAGAGTGCTGGGTCTGGAGTCAGGACAACTCTTCCTGAGTTTAAAGCTGGCCTCAGACACTTACTTGCTGTGGGACCCTGAGCAAGTTACTTAACCCTGTTTGCCTCAATTTCCTTATCTATAAAATGAGCTGGAGAAGGAAATGGCAAACTACTCCAGTATCTTTGCCAAGAAAACCCCAAGTGGCATCACGAAGAGTCAGATATTACTGAAATTAATGAATATTACCTTTCAATTACTTGAGGAATCTTGTGAATTCTGCTGCTATAACTCTTGAATCCATCCCTTTTTCTCCCCTCAGAAGCCACTTCCTTAGTTTAGACATTGTCATTTCTAATCTGGACTAGTACAACAATTTCTTTGTTGGTCTTCCCAGCTTTTAATTTCTTCCCTTGTCAATCTAGCCTTCATATAGCTATTGTAATGCAGAACATTATTTTACCATTTAAGTAGTAGGGCCCTTTAAGCCATGGAAAGCAGAAATTGCTGCTTAATCTTGCACCAGACCTCTTTCCTCCTAAATCTAAACAACAGTGAAATGTACTATTGCATAGCTCAGCACAGCCCATACCTCCAACGCAAATGGATAAGAAAGTTTGCAACATAATTGCTTTAGATACTTATGTTTATACCAGAGACCAGGACACATGGTCTGGTTTGTGTGATCTCTGACCTGTAATGATGGGGTGCTCGGGTGCTTGTGCTTGTACTTGTGCCCCAATTTCTCCCTAGTCCCAGCAACTGTCTTTGACAACCACTTCCCAGCCCAAGGACACTTTGCCTAGCAGTTATTCATGCATGGGCTTCAGCATGACCCTTATCTCTCTCCCTGGTACAGGTACACAGAGCCGGGCTGCTCAGGCCCCAGCCCTCAGATCATGTCTCTGGAAGCCTCTCAATTCCTTAGTAAGTTCTTGTGTTGTGAGAAACCTTTCCCTTGTTGCACAGCATTCTCTCATCAAGACAGAGGGAGAGGGGTGTCCTTTGCCAGCCCAAGGACTCTTCCTCCTGTCAGACTCCAAAGATCCATCCCCCTC